CCGCGCAATACCAGTTTGCTGCTTTACCGTGCCCTTACGCACGGCAAAGCGCCTCCTGTATTTCGCTAGCATTGCCAACATCACCTTCTTCCCTTCTCCACTCGCTGTCTCTCCCACCTTCCATTCTGGATTCTCCCCTTCCATGCAGGACCAGGCTCCTTGTGGGACCGCTGCTGCCTCTGCTTTCCCTCCAACATGCACGTCCCGTTCCCCCGCTCCCGTTGCTGCTGATACACTCGCTTCTGCCCCCACCTGCTCAACCTGCTCCTCCGCTCCCGTTGCTGCTGATACACTCGCTTCTGCCCCCACCTGCTCAACCTGCTCCTCCGCTCCCGTTGCTGCTGATACACTCGCTTCTGCCCCCACCTGCTCAACCTGCTCCTCCGCTCCCGTTGCTGCTGATACACTCGCTTCTGCCCCCACCTGCTCAACCTGCTCCTCCGCTCCCGTTGCTGCTGATACACTCGCTTCTGCCCCCACCTGCTCAACCTGCTCCTCCGCTCCCGTTGCTGCTGATACACTCGCTTCTGCCCCCACCTTCCCGTCCTTCCCTTCCGCTTTTGCTTCTGCTGATGTGCACGCCTGTGCCCCCACCTTCCCGTCCTTCCCTTCCGCTTTTGCTTCTGCTGATGTGCACGCCGGTGCCCCCACCTTCCCGTCCTTCCCTTCCGCTTTTGCTTCTGCTGATGTGCACGCCTGTGCCCCCACCTACCCGTCCTTCCCTTCCGCTTTTGCTTCTGCTGATGTGCACGCCTGTGCCCCCACCCCACCTTCCCGTCCTTCCCTTCCGCTTTTGCTTCTGCTGATGTGCACGCCTGTGCCCCCACCTTCCCGTCCTTCCCTTCCGCTTTTGCTTCTGCTGATGTGCACGCCTGTGCCCCTACCTTCCCGTCCTTCCCTTCCGCTTTTGCTTCTGCTGATGTGCACGCCTGTGCCCCCACCTTCCCGTCCTTCCCTTCCGCTTTTGCTTCTGCTGATGTGCACGCCTGAGCTCTCACCATCTCTTCCCTTTTCCCCCAGGCCATGAACGCGCGCTGCACCTCGTGCTCTACTTCCCCGTTATCCTCATCCCTGGCGCTTGTTCCTGCCTCTGCTTTCATTCAGCCTTGGTCTGAGTGCCTGCAGCTGTGCTTGTAGCCTCTTGAGCTCCTGTTCCAGCTCTTCCGGGTTCCCCTTTGCTGTCCCCTCCCGCAGGTAGCAGTCATTCGCTTCACGTCCCTTCTTGCTGTAGATTTCACACCATGATGCATCTGGGCACTCTCTCCTCAAGTGTCCCGGCTTCCCACAGCAATGACAGTTCTTGCAATCTCTCCTAATGTGCCCGGACTGTCCGCATCTGTAGCAGGTCCTGTTAGCTGCCCTATCATCCCCTCGTCCCTCTGACCTTCCCTTATCTTCAGATATCATTGCTGCCACCCGTGTCGGTCCACGGCTCCTCTCTGTCGTTCGGGGTCGATACGCTTCATACTTCCTTTGTGCGAACTCCATTCTCTCTGCCACCTCGAAGACTTCATCCAGCGTTGTGTCTGCCCCCATTTCGTACACCTTCATCCGCAGTCCGCTCTCCATGGTGCTGTCGAGTCCATCCAGGAACTTGCTAACGAGAAGGCCCATGTCTGCACATGTCACATCCTCCGCCAGGTTGATCAGCCGGTTGTAATAGGTAAGCAACGACTCGCTCCGTCCCTTCCTGAATTCCTGAAATTCTCTTATCTTCTCCGCGGTGTGCCCTGGAAACTGCCGCTGTAACCGCTGCAGAAATGCTTCCGTGGGGTCTTCCCCGTACCTTCCTGCCCTCTCTAGCAACTCATCCATCTTCATTCTGTAGAGCGTTTCCGCCTCCCCTTCCAGTGTGTTCGGCAGACTCAGGAAGAAATCCACCGAGTCCATACCACTCCTCTCGCACCTGTATCTCACATTCCCTACTTGCATCAAGTACTTCTTGAGTGAGGGACCTGCGCTCTGATCTCCTGAGAATCGCGCCGGCACTTCCACTTGCGCAAACATCAACGTGCTCCCCCGACCGTCTCCCCGTGATTCCCTCAGTCCTCTCGCCTGCCTTCCTGATGACTCCCTCTCCCTTGCCTTCTCGATTCCTACCCTTGCCTCTCTGGCGCGCTCCGTGCTGTATGCCAGCCCACCGCCTCCCCCTTTGCTTTTGCGCTGGTCCTGTCCCGTCTCCCTTCGCAGGTCCTCCGCACTCATCCGTGCTCTTGCTCGCCCCCATTGCCGCTCTGACGAGTAATGCGTCCTCGCCCATCCTTCCTTCTGCGTTCCGAGCTGCCAGTGCCACTCGGGCGATGGGGATCTCTCGTCCCTTCTTCCACCATGCCCGCGGCAACTGTCTTGCAGACGCCACTCCTCCTCCCATCTCCCTCCCTGCCTTCGCCGCAGATCCCGATCTGGCGAGCAAGACCCGCCTCTACGCCTCTCATCCTGCTGCGGACGCCGATCTAGCGAGCCGTGCTCGCTTCCCCTACTCCCCTCACGTTTTGGGTGCAGATCTGGCGAACGCAACTCGCCTCCCCACCTCGTGTCATGGTGCAGGCGCAGATTTGGCGAGCGCGGCCAGCTTCCCCGCCCTCCGCCGCACTGCCGACGCGGATCAGGCGAGCGCGACCCTCCGTTCCGCCTTCCTCCGTGCTGCCGATGCAGATCAGGTGAGAACTCGTCCCTGGGCACTTCATATCGCGCCTCCGCTCGCCCCCGCTGCTGCTCTGACGAATAATTCGCCTTCGCTCGCACATCCCGCCGGCTTCCTTGCTGCCGATTTACCCCTGGCGAAGGTGACCACTCGTCACGCCTTCCTCTTCGTGGCCGATGCGGGTCTGGCGAGCATGATTCATCACCTCGCCTTCCCCCTCCCTGCCGATGCAGATCTGGCGAGCACGACCTGTCGCCTCGCCCTCCTCCGCGCATGCGGTACAGATCTGGCGCATGCGTCCCCTCGTTTCGCTTTCGTTCGTCCTGCCGATGCGGATCTAGAGGATGATCTTCTTCCGCACGCGCATACCCGCATACGCCATGTCGCCCTGCTTCTTTCGTCGCTCAGGCGCCAGATCTTCTCTGTTGCTGGCGTCGCCAAGCTCTGTCCGCCGATCTGACGAACGATCTCCTTCCTTCGTCCCCCCTTGCTCCACCTCGTCGCGCGCCGGCGTGGCGTCTGATCCGATGCGCCTGGTTCTGCCGGGAGATCGCGTCGCGTCCCTGCTTCCATACGTCGGTGCTCTGGCTCCGCGTTGTACTCGTCGACCTCGGTACTGTCTTCCTCGCGCCTTGCCTTCACTGACTCGTCGGCGCCGGAGAACTCCTTATCTCCTTCGCTGCAATACCCCCGTCCACACAACGCGTGGCCCTCCAGGGTGCTCCCGCGGTCTCCTCCACTGCGACGGCGCTCCCCTTCTCCCGGCGAGCTTGGCGCTCCCGTATCTCGGCGACGTCGTCCGCCGCCTCCCTCTTCTCGTCGTCCATCAAGCCGCCACGGATCGCCGCCCGTCGTGGCAGATCCCGATCCGTCTCCGCCTTCGCGAACTGATCCGCCTCCGCGTCGTTCACGCGTGAACGGAATCTGATCCGCGCGGAATGCTGGCCTCCGCGGCGACCGCTCCAGCGAGCGCCCACGTTCATGCGTCCGGCCCTGACACGGCCGTTCCTCCTCACGACGAGCCCAGCGCAGCTCGTACTCGTCCATAACTCACACACGCACAGGCTTTCTCCTGTTATGAAAGAGTTTCCTCCCTCACCCCGTAGGTCCTCCCATAGTGGCGTGCCACCGGATGCTAGATCTGAGGTAACAGCTTTCCACTAATACGAGAGAATAACAGGAGAAAAGCAACGAGAGGGTGCAGGATACTGAATTTACCTGTGCCTGGCTCAGTCGTACACTTCTCAATGTGCGCCTCGAGCAAGGGCCAGTTGCTTCAGATTGGTTCGTTGGATTCCCACCCCTCGATGTTTCCTCTAACCCTTCCCAACAACTTCGCCTCAACCCCACCAGACCCACCCAGTAACTCACCCTCGAATTGTAATCATGCAAAAGACTACACCTGAATCTACACTTGCATCTACACCCGTGCACCAACTGTTATCGCATATGCACGAAGTGCATATTCGGTGACACTCTGAATTGGCTTGAACGCCCTTTGAGGCGCCTCAAAAGCACTCGAGCCTCTGAATTGGCTTGAACGCCCTTTGAGGCGCCTCAAAAGCACTCGAGCCTCTGACTTGGCTTGAACGCCCCTACCGGACTGTTGCCCCTAGACTGGAAAACCCCAACCTTCACAAGCCATGCTCATCTCATTTCACATTGCTGGAGGATGTCTGGAGGTTCCCCCACATGAAGTGCATCACTCGATCCCCTGGCCACTCCTGTACCGTTGCTGGACATAGTGGAGCACACTGCTGCTACCTGAGGTAATACGGCAACAATCCATCCCCACACCATTCTCACATTGCTGGTCAAAGTTTGGAAGTTCACCCACACAGAGTGCATCACTCGATCCCCTGGGCACTCCTGTACCGTGTTGCTGGACATAGTACAGCACATTGCTGTTACCTGAGGTAATACACCCAAAATGCATTCTCATCTCATTCACATTGCTGAGGAGGTCTGGAGGTTCACCCACACGAAGTGCAGCACTCAAGCCCCTGGCCAATCCTGTACCATTGCTGTTACCTCGGGTAACACGCCCACCATCCAGTTTCAAGTCATTCACATTGCTGGAGGATGTCTGGAGGTTCACCCACACGAAGTGCAGCACTCGAGCTTCCTACCTGAGGCTGACACTGAGACCCCAATGGCCTATAGGCTATACCATCATACTACAAATCCTTGCACCCTATACGCCTCTTCCCCCAATGCTCACATTGCTGGCGATGTCTGGAAGTTGACCCACACAGAGTGCAGCACTTGAGCTCCTGGCCACTCCTGTACCGTTGCTGTTACCTCAACTCTTACGCCCTGAATCCCTGCTCCCCCCCCTCCCTTAAGCCACACTCACATTGCTGGAGGATGTCTGGAAGTTGACCCACACAGAGTGCAGCACCCGATCCTCTTTGCCTCCCCGCAGCCACAGCTCCTGGGGATGTTTTGCACGCGGGGTGAAAGAAGAGGAATTACAAGGGGTTCAGAATGGTAGAAAGAGTTTAAGGAGAATCTCCACCTTCCGTCCCGCAGCATGGGTTCTTTTTGAGTGGAAGAACGAAGAGGCACCAGGAGGGCAAAAGGGTTCAGAACGGTGGAGAGTGGTTCAAGCTGAATCTGCGCCTCCCCGCCCCCACAGTAGACAACAGAGTGGAACTAAAACGGAAAAGGGAGATGGAAAATGGTGAGAACAGTTGGAAGGGTTACAGATCGGCACACGGAATGCACTGTAGCACTTTGTCCTCTGCACCTACCCTCCGCCTTCCCTCTGCCTCTCGTCTCTCGTCTCTCATCTCTCGTCTCTCGTCTCTCATCTCTCGTCTCTCGTCTCTCATCTTCTCATCTCTCCTCTCTCGTTTCTCGTCTCTCGTCTCTCCTCTCTCGTCTCTCATCTCTCATCTCTCGTCTCTCGTCTCTCATCTTCTCATCTCACCCCCTCCGTCCCTTCGCCACTCCGTCTCTCCACCTCTCATCGCTCGCCCCTCATCTTTCATGTCTCGCCCACCTTGCACAGGGCTGGAATCTTCTAAGCTCACCCTCTCACCCCCTCCATCTCTTCGCCACTCCGTCACTCCATCTCTCATCTCTCATCTCTCCACCTCTCATCTCTCCACCTCTCATCTCTCCATCTCTCATCTCTTCACCTCTCATCTCTTCACCTCTCATCGCTCGCCTCTCATCGCTCGCCTCTCATCGCTCGCCTCTCATCGCTCGCCTCTCATCGCTCGCCTCTCATCTTTCATGTCTCGCCCACCTTGCACAGAGCTGGAATCTTCTCAGCAGCGAGTGACTTCTCGTTGCTCGCATTCCACACCAGCGTCACTTGCACCTTGCCTGGGATGGGTTGATGGGATGATGGGAATACAGGGACGAGGAGTGGAATGGGACGGTGGTGCTGGTATATCTGAGAGGCGCCTCAAAACCCACATTCCACACCAACATCACCTGCACCTTGCCTGGGATGGGTTGATGGGACGGAGTATGGGTTGCAACTCAAAGGTCAAAGCTCAACAGTAGGAAGATGAGCTTTCAGTCGACTCAATCGGAATACTTCCCATTGCTCGCGTTCCACACCCGCGTCACCTGCACCTTGCCTCCTGGGATGGGTTGATGGGAGCATGGGTTGCAACTTAATGCTCAAAGCTCAAAGATCAACAATGGGAAGACGAGCTTTCATTCGACTCAAAAGATTTCTCGTTGCTCGCGTTCCACACCAGCGTCACCTGCACTTTGCATGGCTGGGATGATGGGATGATGGGTGGGTGGGATGATGGAATGAAATGGTGAGATAGTGAGTTTCGGGTCGACTCAAACTTCCCGTTGCTCGCGTTCCACACCAGCGTCACCTGCACCTTGCCTGGCTGGAATGATGGGCTGTTGGGTGGGTGGGTGGGTGGGATGATGGAGTGCAATGGTGAGATGGTGAGTTTCGGGTCGACTCAAAAACCTCATTGCTTGTATTCCACACCAGTGCCACCTGCACCTTGCCTGGAATGAGATGGGATGGCGGGTGGTGATATGGTGAAATTGGGCAACGGATGCATGGGAGTTGGAGGCTTGGGCTATGGAGCCATGTGCAATGGAGAAGGCATGGGCAATGGAGGCATGGGCAATGGAGGCATGGGCAATGGAGGCATGGGCAATGAAGGCATGGGCAATGCAGGCATGGGCAATGCAGGCATGGGCAATGGAGGCATGGGCATTGGCAATAGTGAAGATGGGATGGCAACAGCACGTCTTGCCAACATATGGCTCGTGTTGTAACAGCATATGCCATGCGGCTATCTGGATTACGCATCAACTCATCACAAGCGGAACATATGGCTCGCGTGGTAAAAGCAGCATATGCCATGTGGCTACCTGGATTATGCATCTATCTGCAGGTAACGAACAGAAAGCACTGTCACTGTGCATTCAATTTATGTAGCACACGCGTACCTTTTAGGCAAGCAGCAAGCTTGTTTCAGCACTAAGAAAGAAATCTCAAAAGGGATCGTGCGTGCGTACCTTTCAGGCAAGCAGCAAGCTTGTTTCAGCACTAAGAAAGAAATCTCAAAAGGGATCGTGCGTGCGTACCTTTCAGGCAAGCAGCAAGCTTGTTTCAGCACTAAGAAAGAAATCTCAAAAGGGATCGTGCGTGCGTACCTTTCAGGCAAGCAGCAAGCTTGTTTCAGCACTACGAAAGAAATCTCAAAAGGGATCGTGCGTGCGTACCTTTCAGGCAAGCAGCAAGCTTGTTTCAGCACTAAGAAAGAAATCTCAAAAGTGATCGTGCGTGCGTGCATGCCTTTCAGGCAAGCAGCAAGCTTGTTTCAGCACTAAGAAAGAAATCTCAAAAGTGATCGTGCGTGCGTGCATACCTTTCAGGCAAGCAGCAAGCTTGTTTCAGCACTAAGAAAGAAATCTCAAAAGTGATCGTGCGTGCGTGCATACCTTTCAGGCAAGCAGCAAGCTTGTTTCAGCACTAAGAAAGAATCTCAAAAGTGATCGTGCGTGCGTGCATACCTTTCAGGCAAGCAGCAAGCTTGTTTCAGCACTAAGATAGAAATCTCAAAAGTGATCGTAGGGATGAGCAAGTGGCGAACACGAACGTGTTCGTGTTCGCCCCTACACGAACACCTTCGTTTGCCGAACCGAACACTGTTCGGTTCGGCGAACACTTTGAGCAAAAAATGGTGTTCGCCGTTCGCCTGTGAAGGCGTGTTCAGGCGAACCTCGAACACTGTTCGTGTTCGTCGCGGGCAAATTGCAGCAGCGGCCCGAACACGAACGTGTTCGGGCGAACATCGAACACTGTTCGGCGAACATTTTAAGCCAAAAAAAAATACCTGTTCGGTTCGCCTCGAACACGTTCGAGGAAAACCGAACAGGTGTTCGTTTTTTTGCTCAACCCTAAGTGATCGTGCGTGCATGCATACCTTTCAGGCAAGCAGCAAGCTTGTTTCAGCACTAAGAAAGAAATCTCAAAAGGGATCGTGCGTGCGTGCGTACCTTTCAGGCAAGCAGCAAGCTTGTTTCAGCACTAAGAAAGAAATCTCAAAAGGGATCGTGCGTGCGTGCGTACCTTTCAGGCAAGCAGCAAGCTTGTTTCAGCACTAAGAAAGAAATCTCAAAAGTGATCGTGCGTGCGTGCGTACCTTTCAGGCAAGCAGCAAGCTTGTTTCAGCACTAAGGGTACGTTCCTGTGGAGACACTTGTGTCTCAAACCCTTTGTGACACCGGAAATCAGCATATGTCGTAGTGTGTCACAAACGCGGACCGCATTACTTCGATTCACACAGTATTTTACATTGGTTGGCGGGAATTGCGGGGGTGTCGCGGACGAGTTACATGAGGCCCCGTCACCTTGCGGAAATTGCACGCGTCCCGAAATGTCACCCTGTACTGCATGCACCTGGACAATCGAACAGGGCAATTTTCGAGCGGGAAAGGAAAACCGCCCTGCCCCTGCAGACAGATGACTGGTGGATGCGACCGTCATGACACATCCCTGCCCGACTTCCAACACACCATTCCAACTACGCAGACAGCACTCACCCGCCCCAGTCCATTCTTGTTCTACAAACCCCTGCTCTCTCTCCTTCCTGTTTCTTGTTCCTTCTTCCCAGCCGTAGCCATGGCCCGAAAGCGCAAGAGCGCCGCTAGCACTGCTGACTTGTGCCCGCGGGATCTCAACGAGATCCCGTACATCGCTTGGATGAACAAGCAGCTCGCGGCCGGCCGCAAGCCCGCCGGCCCCCTGCCCGATGGTGCGCCCGGTGCGGGAGACACCTCGTTCGAAGCCCCGCGTGACGTGCCTACCCGCGGACGCCCTCATGCCGACCGGGTTGCATCATCCCGCGTCGTGGACGACGAGGCCTTCGACGACGATCCTGATTTCAATGACTGCGACGAGGCGTACGACGACGACGCGGACTCTGGCGAGGAGCCGGACAAGGGCATGTCCCCCTCCGAGGACGAAGACGACGGCGACGAGGACGCTGAAGACGACGAGGACGTTCCCGAGGAGGCACAACCCACTACCCCCGCCTACCCGTCGCGGCCGTGCATCTACTGCGGCCGGAACCAAGACTGCCGCAAAGGGCGGAGAGCCTCCTCGTGGCGCGTCGAAGACGCGCAACCTGAACCCTGTCAGGCGGAGCGTGTGGTCTACCCGCGAGAGCACCATTTTCGTCGCAGCTCGTTGGTTCATGAAGGACGAGCTGGGCGCTCTCCTCGGCAAGCAGGGATCCCAGTACTGGGCCCGCCTCGTGCGTCATCTCGAGCAGGAGAACCCCGGGTGGGTCCGCGGCGTGAACGCACTGCAGAAGCAGTGGCGCAACCTCGTTAACGTGTACAAGCAGATCAAGAAGGGGGAGAAGGCGAGCGGCAAGGGGGCGGTGTGCAAGCCTCCATGGTACCCGTACATGGCGCTATTCCAGAACAACAAGGCTGTTGGTAACCCACACGCTGTCGACGGTGGTGGCGCGGCTCACGTCAACGTGCCGTGCAGTTTCGCGGTCCCGTCGCCATCAGCACCATGCACATCTTCTCCGACTTTCACCGGTGAGTTTGCAACAACTCTGATGTTCGGACCTTTACGTTTTGGTGTGGCACTTGTGCAACTTTGTTTTAGGGTAGGGAAGAAATGTGACGTAATATCACACACTAGTCAGCTACTGATACAACTCTACGTGGCTCACGTGTGCAGCACCAACGCCGCAGGGGACGCCTACGTCGAAGCGCCCACGGGTGGTGGAGACCGCAACGGTGGCCGCCGCCAAGCTGGTGTGTGACACAATCAAGGGCTGCCACTCCGACGCGATGAATCGTATCGAAGTCCTCGTCCGCGCATGGATGGAGCAGGATGCGCGGATTGCACGCGAACGCGTGCAGCAGCCCCGCCCCCTTCCCGCCTGCCCACGACGGCATCCCTGGGCATGCAACGCCCGCCGTCGAAGGAGGCGACGACGGCTGGCTCCGCCGCGGGCAGGCGGCCGACAACGCCTCTAACCCTGATGCGGGCGAGGATGTGTGGGTTCGCGGCGCCGACGAGTGAGGTAAGACGACTCCAGAGCCTCGCCCAACCGCTTGCGCCGTTCTCGCAAATTAGCCTGCGTGCACGGGTTGCACGGCTCCCACTTGAATTCGCTGACTGCACCACGAGTCCACCACGGGTCTCGGTTTCGGGGCAAGTTCGCCCACGACGCATTCACCCGCCTAACCGCTCCCATCGTTTCACACATGTTGTGCAGGATGACGCCACAAGACGCCCCTGCAAGAATGCGCCAGAGCACGCAATCATTGCGGCCCGCGAATAGACGCCACCGGCCCTTGAATGCGCCGATGCAACGCTCTACTGCCATGCGCGTAGCGCTTTGGCAGTAGTTGAAGCACTGCTCCCAGTCATCCATTAGGCCTTCACGGGGTGCATGTAGGGGGGTCAGGCAGAAGTCCCTGAGTGGGTAGGCAGCATCTCCCACAATTTGGTATGGCGCAATGTCGCCGTTGTGCAACCTTTCGTGTAACGCGCTGTTCATGAACACCCTCTGATCGTGTGCACTGCCCGGGTATCCTACCAAGTAGTCCCAAATGATGCCGCGAGCATCGCATGTGATCTGCAGCTGCACGGCGTAGCATGACTTGCGCGTGTAGTACTCTTGCCTGTGCCCCTCCATCCCCTTCGTGGGTATGTGTGTGCCGTCTATAGCCCCCACCACCGCAGGGACTCCCTTGATGGCGCGAAACTCCTCCGCCATCTCATCGAGGTCGTCACGGCTCGGGAAGTGGACCCACTGCTGCTTGAAGGCCGTCGGGAAGTGCATGAGGAGCGCATCTACCAGCGTGTGGCACAGCGTCTTGGACAGGCCGAAGACTGCCGACAGGTCTCGAAACGACATGCCGCTGGCCAGGTATTTGATAGCCACAAGGCATGCCACCTCGTGCGTGATCAAGTATCTGTCAACGTAGGGCTGCATGTAGCGCGCCATCCCGTTGACAATGTAGTCAAGAATTGCGCGGTTGATGCGAAACAAATCCCTGAATTCTTCCTCCCCCATGCCTTCCAGGTCCTCTAGCAGCAGCTAGTACCTGCGCCGGCGAAGCCCTGACCTCCTTTTCCGCTCGGCGGTGAGGTTGGAGCCACGCGAGCTAGAAGCCGAGGACACTTCCTCGGTGAACACGTTCGCCTCCAGCAAGCCGCCGACAGATCTGGAGACGGCGTCCATGAAGATGCTGTAGTAGAACGTGACCCATGCGACGAGCAGCCGCATGAGGAAGGGCACGTCGCGAGGCTGTGCCATGGATGCTAGACTGGGAGGCACATTATGACTAGTGGGGTGGTGGTTTTGTACTTGTGCCAGTGTTTGCTGCTGTAGTTGAACACAAGCCTGTGTGTGTGTAGTGTTTCCGTGATGCCCGAATCGACCCATTTGCAACACCATCCACCGTGTCTAGACGCCGCCGCGACATTCATTGCGGGTTGCGCTTTTTTGGACTGGGATGCCCGGCGGGAAAACAGCAGCGGGTCCAATCCAAGTGGTCGCCACCAATAGAAAGCGCCCACCTGGCTGGTCCCATCTGTCGCTCAGAGTCGAGGTTCATTGGTTGTTTGAGACACAACATTTTGCAAATTTACAGGCGCGATCCGGGAAAACGGGGGTTGAGACACAAGTGTCTCCACAAGAACGTACCCTAAGAAAGAAATCTCAAAAGGGATCGTGCGTGCGTGCGTACCTTTCAGGTATCGCTCCGAAGAAGGGATGGAGGTGTCGTTAGTGGTGAGAGCAAGCTGCGAGGTGTGAATGGATGCAGGGGAGTGGAGTGCGGTTGGAAGGTGTTGAGGCATGGCCATGAAGCAGGAGGTGTGGTGGAGTAAGCTGCAGGGAGCAAGGAGATGTTATTTATCATTCTCAAAAGCAAGGGGATGTTGTTAAGGCAGGCAGCAGGTAGAATTGAGAAGTTTTGAGACGTCTCAAAACTACTCGTTGTGCAGGCAGGCAGCAGGTAGAATCCACGTGCTGAATTCCACCTAATAAGCAGCTGGAAACCACCTGATGGGCACCTGAAAAACCACCTGAAGGAACCCACCTGATTTGGACCTCACCTGAATGTATCTGAGCATGCCCTGGCCTGTTTCCTCGTTATAAGGCTCTACGCCCAGGTCCTTTATTACTGTAGTGAGGAGGGAAGGGGAGCGTGCAAAACAACATAATGAGCTGACTGTTAGAGGATATGAGAGGAGAAAAGAGGAGCGTACAAGAATACTCACTCAGATAACAATCTGCTGAAGGGTAACCTCAAATGAAAATTGGATTATTGAATACACTCCAGAGTCACCTCAAAGTGGCTCTCAGCTCGCCTCAAAGTGGCTCTCAGCTCGCCTCAAAGTGGCTCTCAGCTCGCCTCAAAGTGGCTCTCATCTCGCCTCAAAGTGGCTCTCAGCTCGCCTCAAAGTGGCTCTCAGCTCGCCTCAAAGTGGCTCTCAGCTCGCCTCAAAGTGGCTCTCAGCTCGCCTCAAAGTGGCTCTCAGCTCGCCTCAAAGTGGCTCTCAGCTCGCCTCAAAGTGGCTCTCAGCTCGCCTCAAAGTGGCTCTCAGCTCGCCTCAAAGTGGCTCTCAGCTCGCCTCAAAGTGGCTCTCAGCTCGCCTCAAAGTGGCTCTCAGCTCGCCTCAAAGTGGCTCTCAGCTCGCCTCAAAGTGGCTCTCAGCTCGCCTCAAAGTGGCTCTCAGCTCGCCTCAAAGTGGCTCTCAGCTCGCCTCAAAGTGGCTCTCAGCTCGCCTCAAAGTGGCTCTCAGCTCGCCTCAAAGTGGCTCTCAGCTCGCCTCAAAGTGGCTCTCAGCTCGCCTCAAAGTGGCTCTCAGCTCGCCTCAAAGTGGCTCTCAGCTCGCCTCAAAGTGGCTCTCAGCTCGCCTCAAAGTGGCTCTCAGCTCGCCTCAAAGTGGCTCTCAGCTCGCCTGATATACAGCCCTCATCTCACATAGGCCTCACCTGAGCGCACGAGAGCTGCAGCAGCATTCAGGCGCGGATGGTGGGCTGCAGTGGAGGGAGGGAGAGAGTGGAGGGAGGGAGAGAGTGGAGGGAGGGAGAGTGTGGAAGGAGAGAGAAAGTGTAGTGTGGAGCTATAAGGGAGAAAACAGAAAACGAAGCGCAGAACAGGTGTAAGGTGGGAGGAGGGAGAAAGCTGTAACATTTTGATGTGTGCGTGCGTCAACCACTTGGGTGCAAGCAACAAACAAGTCGCCCCCACAAACCTCTGCCTGCAGATGGGTATATCTACCACTTCATTCATGCAACCGTGCAGACACGTCAGGGCAGACAGCCCCACCAACCAGCACGAGCAGCCTCCCTGCCTGCTTGTGCTTGTGCTTGTGCTTGTGCTTGTGCTGACGACAACTTTTGAGACGTCTCAAAAGTCACCTCTGCAGATGGGTAAATCTACCACTCCATTCATTCATGCAACCGTGCTGCAGCAGACAGCCCCACCAGCAGCTTCCCTCCCTGCCTGCTTGTGCTGGCGACATCGCATGTCTTAGCAGCAACACTAGTCTACAGTGGGGGGGGACTGCATCGCAAGGTTGTTCACTATGCACCTACCTCTGCACATGGGATTTGTGCTCATGAAGAAGGGCAGCAGTAGGCAAGGTCGCCTTTAGCAAAGGGACGATAGTCAACCAAGGGTGTTCACTATGCACCTACCTCTGCACATGGGATGATCAACCACATAGTGCGACCGTGCCGCATACAACCCCACCACTCTCTCCACTCCACATACTACCTTAGAATCGTGTAATACCACACTCACTCCACCCACACACCTCTGCACATGGGCATATCGACCACATCATGCTACCGTGCTGCATACAGCCCCACTAGCGAATTCCCTCCCTGCAATGCACAATATACTACACGCTACCACATAACACCACGTACTACCACACAGCACCACATACAACCACATAGTACCTCACTTCACCTCACCTCTGCACGTGGGAATGTCCACCACATCATGCGGCCGTGCTGCATACAATCCCACCGGTGGCTCCCCTGCTGTGCCCCTCACACACTCTCCAGTCTACATACAGGTATGGAACTTTCCCACCCACACACCTCTACACGTGGGAATATCCACCACATCATGCGACCGTGCTGCATACAATCCCACCAGTAGCTCCCCTGCTGTGCCCCTCACACACTCTCCAGTCTACATACAGGTATGGAACTTTCCCACCCACACACCTCTACACGTGGGAATATCCACCACATCATGCGACCGTGCTGCATACAATCCCACCGGTGGCTCCCCTGCTGTGCCCCTCACACACTCTCCAGTCTACATACAGGTATGGAACTTTCCCACCCACACACCTCTACACGTGGGAATATCCACCACATCATGCGGCCGTGCTGCATACAATCCCACCGGTGGCTCCCCTGCTGTGCCCCTCACACACTCTCCAGTCTACATACAGGTATGGAACGTTCCCACCCACACACCTCTACACGTGGGAATATCCACCACATCGTGAGACCGTGCTGCATACAGCCCCACCAGCGGCTCCTCTGCTGTTCCCCTTACTGCTAGCTTGGCTCTGCAGCGCCACTCCACCTGCTCGGGCAACAAGGGTTTGGCAACGGGTGTTGCGGGAAAGACATGGGGTGTGTTGTTCCCCTCACTGCTAGCTTGGCTCGGCAGTGCCACTCCACCTGCTCGGGCAACAAGGGTTGGGCAACGGGTGTTGCGGGAAAGACATGGGGTGTGCTGTTCCCCTCACTGCTAGCTTGGCTCGGCAGCGCCA